CCAAAATATATATCTTCACAAAGCCCAGAATATTTAATCCTACATCACTGACTCATTAAAGTACTGATACTTTGCAACTATAGGGCTAGAAAAAGGAATCAAGATTTCTGATTGTTAAAAGGTGTTCTCCTAGTTTAGGAAAGAAACTGAGATAGTAAATCTTTAAATCATGACACTGATTGTTGTAGAAGAGTTACAGGTCATTTTTAGAAACATCTCTTTACGTTTCCTTTTGAGCCTTATCCAATTAGTTTCATGTTAATTGAGTTATTTAGGATAAAAGGAATCAATATTTAATTTGAATTAAAATAATAGTTTTATTTTAACCTATGCAGCATATACAGAATAGATGAGGGTGTGGGGAGCACTGAGATTTGGGGAGGGCACATGCCTCACTGTTCACTTCACTACACTTCTGCATATAGCTGCCTAAATCGTGCTAACAGAAATATCCTATAGCTTTCCACTATGGATTCTTTTTAGAGATCTGTTGCCTCCAAAGGATGAGAATGTTGTTGCCGTTGTGATGGTCCAGGAAATATGCAAGAAGCAAGGTTTTTTTGGTAACAGCTTTTATTACTCCCAACTATATAGTTGGTCCAATAAAAGATATCATCGCCCAAAAATGCTTCTCTAAAGGATTAGGAAGACTTTTCCTATTGTTAACATTAAAAAAGATATCTATTTAAGATATAAACAACCTGGCCGAAGTAGGTGATACTAGATAATTTCTAATCACTGAATTTTATGGGTTTTTTCCTTTTTTTTTCTCTTTTTTTCTGCCAGTATAGGAGAAAGTAGAACTTACCACAGAACAGCAGAACCTTCTTCATTACATCATGGATTCATATAGTAAACAACGATTTCCACAGGAGGTATCAAAAAAACTTGTAAGTACACAAATGGATTAATCTTGTGAAAATTATCATTTGGTTTGATTGGAGAGACTGAAGATTTTATAGGGTTAGATCCATTATTTAACATTTCGGTTGAAGAAGCACTTACGGCCATCTATGAAATTTGACCCTGACGGTGCTAAACTTGCATGGATTTCTAGTAAATGATATTCCTGTCTCTAAAGAGCTTACCACCTAAAAGAGAGCTTACAGTCTAAATGTGCTTAAGAGAATTGGTTATTGGTGGGGAGTGATATTGGACTAACTGCATGGTTGCAAGAGAACCAGTAATTACCCCCTTAATCATTACTCTGATAGCTTCTTTGTTCACTGAAATTAAAGGTCTCATTTCTGTAGCATAATGAGCAGTGAGCGACTGGAGTGCACTGAGGGAAGTAGGGGGGGTATGAACGGCAGCCACCACAACTACCAGCCTAGCCTCTGCTGCCACCACCTCTGCCATTCAGGGTGTTTAGACCCTGGAGTAGTTACACTGCTGATCCATAAGTTGGATAATTGCCAATCAGAGCTCATCCTATCTGAAGTGGTAGTTTGAGCTATGTTCAAGTTTTGCCCCAACCCCGACTCTTGCCCATATACACAAACCTCTAGCTCAGGATAAATAGTGCATTGTGCTCAGGCTAGATGCCGCTTCTTCAAAACGGAGGGGTAAGTTGAAGCTCAAGTGTTACTAACACTGCAGCTAACAGCACATTAGGGATACAGCAGCTTGATTTGATGTTGGCAATCAGCTACAATCAGATTCCTCTGTACAGCTAGTCAAGTCATCCTTTGTAGCAGAGGTCGCAGGCGCTAACTTTCATTTTTGCCGGGGCGAGGGGGCTAAGAAAATGGGCATGTGGAAAGTTTCACATATTCCTGGTGATGACCCTCTTTCCGAGGGGGGTCAGGGCCCTGGGCCCCCACGTACTCAGAACCTATGGCTGAGGTGCTGTTTTGAGTAAGAAAACTCTCATTTGAACTACTAAGTCAAGTGTACTAACTCAAGCTCACCATTACAAGGAGGCAAACCCTCAGGTTTCCAAAGAGTAACTGAAAGATGGTACTATGTTGAATACTTCTTAACTAAAATATCCATTGACTAGTAGAATCTCCATTTTCTGAATACATTGTTACTTGATGTCATTATTTTATGGAAGATGTCACTATTGTCACAAAGAAGCAAACATTGAGTATCTCTACAGTAGGTAGCTAGCATAGGTACTGGCAGCAGTCTGGCCAAGGAAGCACAGACCTCAAGCATGGGCTGAAAAACCATCCTGAGAAGCTAGGACCCAGCTAGTTTAATGTTAGCTTGGGGATGCCTATGCTGCACAGCTGGAGTGACTGCTGTATAAACATACATTAAAATAAACTTGATCTTCTGATCTGGATGAGATCTCCTCAGATAGTACTCAGGTTGGGGGGAATTAAGAGTGGCTTTATGTTGTCTTCATGATTAATCACACTCATGGTACCAACCAGAGGGTACTCCCCAGCAAATATTAGAGCAAGTAAAAGATTAGCTGTAGTGGGGAGGGGTGGATAAAACTCAAATATCAAAATGTTATGGTTTTTTATTTTAAAAAAAAAAAAGCTCCACAAAGAAAAAGAAAAAAAAAAGGAAAATGTTTCAGCATTTTGAACTCAAACCTGAATTATTTCCCATTATTTATTTTTATTCATTTTGCCTTCATTTATTGAGTCCTCCTATTCAGTGGTAATATAGGAAGAAGCAGGAGAAAGGGAAAAAGGTAAATGTTAATTAGAAGGCTTTCGTTTTAAAAACAAAAACATTTCATTTTTGCTTTTTGACAAAATTAGACCATTTCAATAGAATTTGTCCCACAGAAAATCACATTTCAGAAACAAATGGCCAGTTTTTCTAAATAAATATATAAAAGCTCAGAATAAAGTTTTGATCTGGCTGCAGTCTGATCTTGTATCCCTTTCCCTGCTATGACATTCCACTTTAAGCTGGGGATTTACAAACACGTATGCGTAGAGTTGGCCGTACAAAATCTTCATCATCTGGGTACTGCTTTTTAACTATGGACATCCCCAGCTATCTTGTTAAACCAGTTACATTGTCACTTTGCACTACTAAAGCTAGTGTTGTAAGTCAATTTTTTTTCCAGAGGTAACATTGAATGAATGTAATAGTTGGCTTGAAGCAATATTTCTTTTTCTTACAACTGCATCACACCTCACAAGGATGTAGATTTAAATTGAGTAAATGTTTAGATAAGAGGCCTCCAACAAACATCCTGCTGCAGGTGGTGACCTTAGTTTACTAGCTGACTCCTGTCTTTTTGAGTCCATACTGAATTGATGTCCCGATGCTATGCTGCTGCTGCGTTATTACACATAGTACAAGTAAAATCAAGGTTCTGAGTACTTGTGGTGAGCTAACATTTCGTGCATTTCTCATACATATGATACTGCTAATTCCAATGCTCTGGTCAAATCACTATTCCTTCTCTAAATTCCCAATGCCACTTCCTTTTTTCACTCTTTACCCTTAAGTTAACAGTTGCACAGTTTTGTTTTGCAGTATTAAGCAGCTGCCACAATCCAGTGCAAAATTCCTATTTACCTTTATTACTAAATATGGTGCAGAGATGTTCAGCATTTAATTAGTTAATATCCATATAGACTTTGAGAGCCTTATGAAAAGCATGTTAGAAATATAAAGTGAGGGTTGTTATTAACCGGGTGTTTGTTTGCTTGTTTGTTTTAATTTTAACAGTTACATGAGGAATTTGGTGCCGAAGAAAATTTTCTCATCTTAACAGAGATGGCTACCAGTCATGTTCAGGTTCTTGTGGAGTTTACCAAAAAGTTACCAGGTAGGTCAAGTATATAGACCAAATCTTGCTCCTGTTGAAATTAATGGCAGAATTTTAACTGATTGCAGTTATGGCTGGATTGTTGTTTATATACAAGTTACATATAAAAGTCCCTTCCATTCCCCCTCTTCTGCCACCAATACATACTCTCCCTTCCAAACACTGCCTAAAGAAAAAGATGTTTGTAAATGGAAGAGAATATTTTAAAGAATTCAAATTTTACCAATTTGAGACATTGCATCCTTTATATCTACTGAAGGATAAACTGTTTTAAATTTTGAGTGTCTTTGAAGACATGTTATTTTATAACAACTTTACAATACAACATATTCACCCTTAGCATTGGCTCTAATAGCTGACAATTTTTACTTTACTCCCTGTGCTCCCTTTCTGTGTTGTAGTATGGTAGAATTGTTGTTATAGCCAGAAAATAAGTGAGAAAAATATTTGTGTCTTCCTTTCTATGAAAGGTTTTGGGTCAATATAATTCACTAAAGTATGTCTGCTTAGAACAGCAGCTTTAAGTACATGGAAAATACGTGTCTATCAGACTAGTGTTTAGCTTGCTTTGATGAAAATATCACAGATACACAAGGAAAAGAATAATTTAGTTTTCTAACTCAAGTTGAAGAGGCCTTAAAACATCAGGCAAAATGATGCCCAAGAGTCAAAAGCTTATTGCAGTTTTGCCAGGTTTATTACATTTTGCCCCATTCTCTGTGGCTGTGAGGTTCAGCTTTGCTAACTGGGGAAGATTTCAGAGATCAGAATGCATGTGAAGGTCACCCAGATCTACTTTTTGATGCAGAAGCCGTATTCGGACATGGAAACTATATGGGGCTCCCTGAACATTTCTGTGCAGTGGGGCTTGGGATCAGGAAGAGTAGGGAGGAGTGGGTTTACCTACAGCCAAGAAGATTCACTAGTTTGTGGTTCTAGTCTAGTCCACTAGATCACACTGCCTCACCCTCACAAATATATGTATATTCAAATGTGCAAAAACATCATTTATCTAACAGTCTTTTGACATTGCCCCTGTACTAGAAGTTGGTTTCTAACGGTTCTAATCTTATTCCCATTTGCAAACTAAAACAGTGGGTGCAGGTTCATAGGAAATAAATGAAAAAAAGAAAGTGAAAGCATGGGATAGGGCTCAGTTCAGTACTGGAAGATGATAACATGGCCAATTCTTTATTAGCACTAATTTAGGAATTTAATTTGTTACATGCTAATCAAGTTGAATTCAATTTTACCCAATCCAAAACAAGATTATGCATGTGTGTGTGTGTGTGAAAGGGAGAAGGGGTAAGGGAGAATGATTCAGAGGGATGTTAATCTGGAAGTTTGAAAAAAAGGAAAGGGGGAAAACAACTATATGATTTCTGCACAAAAATAAAACAAAAAGCTTCTTAAGGGGGAGCACCTGAAATTAATAGATGCACTTGCAAAATGTTGGTCATAGGGACTTGTTATATGGTAATTTTGGGTGGCTCCTGGAGCTCTTAACCCCTGGGTTGTCACACATTAACACCTTAAAGTGGGTTTAAGCACTCGTTACGCAGCTCAAAATTCTGCCACTCTAGAGCAGGATTCTTTCTGATTTGCACTACCCTGTTCCATTAAGACGTGGCCATTCCCCACACATGTGCCACCCAAGTTGAAATCCTAGGATTTCTCGCACCCCTGCCTGTAGAGGAGGGATAGAAATCAGTCCTGGCTCACCAGCCCTCTGGTGGCAACTCACAGCTACAGCTCCTAGTCCTGCTCCTGCCCTGAGTCCTCTAGTGGCAAGTCACAGCTGTGCAGGTGGGGGATAGTCAGAGAAGGTTTCTCGATTAAGGGTGAGACTGCTTCCAACTCCAAGCTAGCACTAACACTGATCAACATGTGTGCTGCTCACAGCATAAGGTGTAACAAAGCCTTCAGTGTTGTGTAAAATGAACTTTGCATTCCTCAGCTGGAAATTTCAGAAAAAACCAGTTCTTTTCTGAATTAGTCAATGAATTTATACTGAGGAAGAAAGAGAAAGTGGCTTTTAGACAAAAAGAAGAAGCAGCAGCAGCTGCTATTGGCTATTTGAAATGAACAGCATTTACCTGGCAAGTTTTAAAATCTGTGTCTTTGGACTATTTTTATTTTCATTTACTGTATCAACTTCACATGTGCTCCTTTGTGGGCTTGTTCTCAAGCCCTTTGTACTGGTTTTGCAGGGGCAGTCAGCATAAGCTAGGTTATATAAATTTTTTAACCACACTCTTGCCCAACAACCCCATTCTACGCCCACCAGTGTTTACTGTAGTTCAGCAATTTGCTTCAATCATGCAGAGCCCAAACTCAGAAAGGAAACCCCCTCTATTCAAAATGGGGGGAAACCTTTAGCTAAATTATAAGGCTTAATGTCCTTAAAGTGGAGGTGTGAAATTTGATTACCAGTTCCTTCTTTGAACACCTCCCTTAATAGTTGCCTGTAAAATACTTTTGGGAAGATGAGTCTGCCAAACTCTAGATCAGATCTGGCTTGTGAGGCCATATCATTTAACACATGGGTCTAGAAATTTTACAGTGGAAGAGCAGTGTTAGCACTAATTGCTGCTCCCCTACTGCCAAATTTCCAGAACCATAGGGAGCCCTGCAGGCCAGATGACATGGTCTTGTGCGCTAGCTGGGGCTGACACATAGCTAGATCAAGCCTGTATGGTTTTGCTGGCACCCAGGGTTGTCACAGACCAAACCTGCACTGGATCAGGCCCATGGACCCACCCCGTGCATGGACTCTAGCCCACAGACTAGCCCTGTGCCACCCATCCAGGCTGTCAGGCCAGAAGGTTGTGCACCAGTGCTCTTGATCAACTCTTCATCTTCCCAAAGAGAAGGGTAAGTGGAAACCAAAAGGAGGAATGGACATTCAAGCCATGTGATAATGATACTTGTCACATCAACATTTTTGGTATGGTGGCTTGCTTTTTAAAGCACAGTATCAAAAAGAAAATATTTACTTTTCTATAGAACAAGTCTGTCTGCTTCCACTTTACTCCTGGTATTCATCCTGCCTCAGCTCTAAAATCAATAAGATCTATAGAACATCTATAGAAGCATTTGAATTTTTGTATTATAGCATTTTATATAAGGGTTGTAGATCAATAAAGCACTTTGCATACACATTTAACTAACTCCTGTTGATTTTACTGTTATTTAAATACATGCTGAGCTTTACTGAAATACTCACCCACAGCGAGCAGGAAGCTAACGTAGGCAAGAGCCATCTTAGATTCTTCATAGCCTCTCTATTTTAAATATGAATGGCATCTTACAGTCAAGAATGGTAGAACCTAAAGTAATATTGTACTGTTGATTTCATTTTGTATTGATTGCCAGTTTATTTCTTAATTCCTTCCAGGCTTTCAAACTCTTGATCATGAAGACCAAATTGCTTTGCTGAAGGGTTCAGCAGTAGAGGCCATGTTCCTTCGTTCAGCTGAGATCTTCAGTCGTAAACTTCCTACAGGACATGCTGACCTCTTAGAAGAAAGGATTCGCAACAGTGGTAGGTGCTCTTTTTAGGGGGAAAAAAACCTTACTTCCATGGGTCAACATTTGCTCTTGAAATGGTAGAAAAAATTATCATGTTAGTAATAAAATAGTTTATCTTAATGCTGGCTTTCTTGATGTTCACTAACACAAATTTCAGTTAGCCTCTAATCCAAAGATCATAAAGATTTAATTGTAAATATGAGGGTGTTTCAGAAAGTAATAGCAAAATAGCTGTCCATGATGTATCTCTGTGACAAGGTGGAGAACTACACAGTAGTAGGGAACGTGGATGGCAGCATTATCAAGTACACCTATCATTTACAATTACGTACATGTGACCCAGTAAATGATCATTGCACACAAAATGTTTTTATTTAAGAAACTGCTGTTAATTTCTTAAACACCCTGATACATTATAAATATTATGACTAACATTATAGAAATTGAATGTCTCTCTACAAGGTTAAAGATAAAAGAACTGTGAAACTAAAACTTCATTCGAAATGTTATTCAAATGAAGTGTCTGTTTGTCCAAGTTTCCCTCGCTTTATGCTGTACATGCATTCTTGGAAAATGGCACATAACTCAAATATGCATAAAGGAAGCCCACTTTACAATGTAACAAATAGGGATATGTTCTGAGACCTCAACTGTACTGACCCCCAGACCCATTTCTACCACATTTACAAGACAATTTTGGTACTCACCTACAGCAGAGAGGGGTAAGAGAGAAGCTAGTGGGATGCATAGAAGCCGTAATGGGGATGGAAATGACAGAAACATGTGTCGCAGACAGCAAGTGAGGAGCACAGATCCACACAGGAGATGATATTTTGGTGCACATTGCTCCTACAACGCACTGCATAAAGCAGTTGACTGCAGGCTTCCACCACACCAATTGCATAAGAGTGAATTTACCTCGCATATACCGAATTTTTGGTATAAAAAGGACCATTGCATAAGAGCTAATTTGCACATATAGAACCCGCACAAAGCAAAGGGAGCAACTGTAATTAAAGTTATAAAGGTAACAGGAGCATTGTAGCTTATTACTGTATGTTATTGTAAAGGGAACAAACTACTACTCTGGATCATTTGGTAAAAGGGATGAGAGTGAATGATTACATTATTCAGTAAAGTCAGTAAATATTCTGTTTCAGACATCTGTCAGGGGTTTGGTCTGTACCGTGGAGTTTTACTGTGTTTGAACATAGTTCTCAGCAGGTGCATAACAAGATGAGGAGTAGATACTGTTTAGCAGACAGTGCAGAGCAAGAAAAGCCATGATCTGCATTACAACACCTAATTGTTATCATGCCTTCAGTGGTTGGTAACAAAATGCTGAACGTAGTTTGTCCTGTTTTATGATGATCCATACCCAGCCCCTGGTCATCCAGTAATATGTCTGTGGTAAAATTTTAGTAGATCAAAGAAATCAGTAGCCTTTGCACTGCCATCAGAAAGTGACTGCTTTTATTTCTGGGTTTGCCCGCTTACTTTTTCTGGGCTAAAGGATTGAAGAAAAAGCAAAAGCACCTCATTCATTCCTGAATGAATGGGGACACCTATGCTATCTCTGGCCTGAGAAGCTAATGATTCAAACTGATCATGGAGGGG